CTCAAGATGATGGTAGAGCCTGGGAACACGCAGGGCACCGTCACGGGGGGAAACGGGAGGGCTCTGACACCAATGGCCGGATGCTGGCAAGCACAGTAACGCCTGTCCACGGGGGTGTCTGACACCAGCCTCTGGGCCTGGCCTCCTGAGGCAAGCTCTGCCTTGCAGCCCAGGCATGGGCTGAGCTGTGCAAAAATGCTGCTGCTGCAGCAGCTGTACCTGGCCCCAGCCCAACAAGCGGCTTCGTTCTGGGTGCAATGGCCTCGGTTTGCAGTGCCTCAGCAGGTCACGCTCCCCAGTTTAATGTGAGGCTGGTGCTATGGGAGCTTGTTCTTAACATGCTGAGCACCAGAGTTGAAGGGTCACATAGGTCCCTTACCCCTGGCAAACTGATCAGCTGCCTGGGGGTGAAGCCAGGCTGGAGGCGAGACTTGGGAGCGCTTGAAAACTAGTGGTGACTGTGGGGAAAGAAAACCCCAAGCCACTTTAACCGCCGGGCAAGAGCAGGAGGTTCAACATAGGCTGCATGCAGCTTGCCCTCCCCAGCCTGCCAGGATGCGGCCCTCGTGCCAGCAGTCCCCTGCTCTGCACACCCCACTCCCACCTCTCCATGCCAGGCTGCAGCTCCTGGCCCCCTCCCCAGCCCCGAATGCTTCCCTGCATCCTTCCAAAAGCTTGAATTTCTGTGCTCGGCTTGCTGTCTCCCTCCATCCACCTCCACCTGTGGCTCCTGGCCTGGGATGGAGACTGTGCCTGGGGGTTGCTCCTAGAGCATCTGTTGCTGGATCTGCAACAGGCATTTGCCCTTCCAGAAATGTTAATGCCACAGTTGGGGGGGGGGAGGGGGGTTCAGTGGAAAGTGTTTCTTCAAGGCCCCTTCCTTCTGCTGCAGCCTTCCCTCCATACAGCTGAAGCTGTCACTTGGGAAGGACCCATCCATGAGCAGGGGGAAGGAAGGAAGGATTGAGCAAAAGAGCCCGAAGTGGGGCCCTTTCCCCCTTCCTCCTGTGCACACACCTGTGCCCATGTCGGGGTGCAGCACACCACTCCAGGGGGGCTCCAGTCACCCTCCCATGGGAGAGCACCAAGCCCATGCCCGGGCTGCGTGGGCACTGGGACAGTGCCATGGTGGCTCTTGCTAACTTAGGGAAGTGGCAGGGCTGCTGTTACTCAGTGAGCCCAGAATAACCAAAAACCCACACCAGAAGTGGCGGCCATGCCTCCCATCCTGCTCCTTGCCCCAGCCACCTGGCCTCGGCCCTCCTGCAGCCGGCCCCCGGCACTGCCCACGGGAGGTGGGTGGAAGTGCTGCACCCACTAGGGCTTGCTCATGGAAACCCTTCCACAGAAGGCAGCACGTGTTTCAGTGGGGAGAAGCAACATTTCATGAGCTTACGCACACACCAGCTTCCCCCCAACTATTCGGGTTGCACAAGGCAGCCCAGCATCCCTCCCCATCCCCACACAAGGGTGCAAGGACAGGGTGCTCTGCCCAGGATGTCACGGGTGTGGTTGGCCCAGTGTGGGGACTCAGCCCTGACAACCGCCCCCAGAGCCAATTTTAGCAGTGCAGAAAGTGAGTGGCCGGCATGCTTTGGTGGAGGGACAGCTCATGGCTCCAGGGTGGTGACTCAAAGCCACTGCTGCCATTGCTCTGGCCTTGGGAGAGCGGTGCTGTCGCCTAGGATGAGCAGTGGTGACTCTAAGGGCGCATCTGGAGGTGCTGCGTACTCAGCCCTGGCCCTGCTGCAGGGACCTGGCCCGGGGCATGAGAAGCAGCACAGGCTTCAAAAGATTTGAAGCACATTCCTACCGCGCAGGCCCATTTTGGTCCACATTCCCACCGTGTCTGGGGCCACCAGGGCTCTCCTTTCTTCCATCCTCTCTCTTCACTGGGAGAGGAAGAATTTGGCGTTAGGAGGGGCAGGGGGTTACTGTGCAGGAGACTCAGGGCTGGAGCGCTGGCTCCCTCCTCTGCCCCCGTGGCCAGGCTCCCCGGTGCTCCTTCGGAAGGTGTTGCTCACCCCCGAGCACCCCGCAGGCCGAGCCCGGGCCCCCGAGGCTGCAGCTGCAGCAGCGCTTTGGAGCGTTTGCCCTGCAACGAGCCGGCAGCCTCAGCTTCGCACCTGGGCGGCAGCGGCAGCCCAGGAGCCAACGAGCTCCCGGGGGGGGGGGG